TTGCCAAGTGGTGGACTAGCACGTCAACCCCCATGACTCACCCAGCCAATGACTACGATCTAATTGGCCCAACCTTGTACATACGCATCCGCTGCTCATAAGTATGCTGTACTAGGTTTGCTCTAGGACTTCCGCTTCTGCACACTTCTTGTGTTCACTCTCTCTATCGCTGGGGGCTCAGATGTGACAGTAGTCAGACGGGGATATCTCGCAGCCTTTTGGTCACCGTTATAACACTACAATTCCTTATTCAATCTTTATTCACTTATCTATATTCACGAATTGCTTGTCCTTTAAGCCTCAGATGTTGGCTCTTCTTAAATATTCCGGGGAATTCAATAAAGGTTAAGCTGAAGTCACTTACTATGACTAAGGTTCTTCCTAAAATTCACGCGTATGTTTCTTTCTACAACTTTAAACCACAAATATTATATCCCCTTGGTAGTACGTATCCTCCTTTGCGATCGTGCAGAATTTCGCCGTTCTGCTTTGTGCTTGCCATTTACCGACAACATTCTAGGTTTTTATATCCCCCTCTAGTGCTTAGCTTAAGCCTAATATCCTTACGGATCATTAAGAAGTGTTTTAACACTGCTTCTGACGTCAAGCTCTAGAACCATTGATTATGATACAGTCAATGTGTGTTTTTGTGCACACATTTAGTTGCCGCCAAAGTTTACTTGCGGCTGCATTTGGTGGTTCGTACTTTGGTTAATGTGTTTTTCTATGCGTTTTATTGTTTGTTGGTGGCAGTTTTCTCAACTCATGACTACAGCTTGCACGTTACCGTCTCTGGGTGTTTCATTAGTGCTTTTTGGTTGAGCTACCATAACCTAACGTCTGTAATATCGCTTTTAGCAGTTGCCAAAACTGGTCCATGCCATTGTTTAAAAATGGTGTCCTTAGGGCTTTTTCCATCACAGTTTCAACACCTAGATCGTATCAGTACCCTGAGTGCCAAGAAGAGAGGTAAAGCATTCGAAAGTTTGCATTTTTCAAATTAGGTATATTTGAAGTGTATGTATCGACTTTTCCATGGCATTTCCTTCCTGAGTGCCGTTTTGTTGAACTAAACTTCATTTTCCTTCTTAATGCTAAAGTTTTCGAATTTCAATGACCTGATTTGAATGTGCTGCTGCTTGGTTCGAATGGCATGGAGACGCAAACAGTACGCAGTCAACCGGCTTGGGATGGATTACTGAATCTTGCGATGACTTTGTTCCCGTTAAGTCATTATCGTTAGCTGCAATTGTCATTGAGCAGTTGTTTTACTTCGCCATTTACTACCGGCTGCTAGACTCCAAACATCACATGATTGGCATTCAGAACTATTCTTAATACTGGGTACCGTGCCACTTTCACGCTAAGACTAACGCTAGAGTTTCTTCTATCCTTTGTGCGGTGTGTAAAGTCGCTGTTTTTGGGGATTTTAAATATACCTTGCCTTTTCGTTGACCGCTCAATAGGCTCCAAATCTGAAGCTTTTGTTCTTGATAGTTCTTAGGCACAGGTTGCAAAAAGATGCCATTGACTCAGTAGTCTGATTGCCCTTGGTTGAGGATGTTGACGGGTAAACTTCTCGTCTAATGTATTTACGTGTTGCAGTTGTGAAACTGTGTTTCGTAGTATTGTCTAACGCTGGTGATTACGGCCTACCCGAATTTTCGGGGAAACATTTCTAATAACATTAGAATTTTGACCAGTACCATATCTATCAAAAAAAGTTCGACCACGCGAAGGCACCTTATTAATTTTGTTCCCTGTAACGATGCCTATATATCCAAAGCCGGTTTGGTTGTGTTTGAGGCAGTCGCTCAACACCTTCATAAGAGCGGTCAGTCATGCTAGCTTATCCTAAGGTATGCATCTTGTTGATGACTCCTGATTATGGGTAGTTGCCGATTAGACGACGAAATGTCACCTTCGTTCGTCCCCCACCCTCATCGTTGTAAATTCTTTAGAAACAATGATAAGGCATTGAATATTCTCTTCCCCATCACCTTTTTTAGAGGGGAAGTCTCCTGATTAAGGCGCAGCATACTCTTGCTCGGGATGGGCGCCATTTTTGGTAAGAAGCATCATCACTCTCGTGTTACTGAGGAGGACAAGGCTTTGTTACAGTTGAAGCAGCAACGGGACCAACTCAAACAGTACAAGCAGCGAGTGAACTCTTCTATCACCAGGGACGACGCTGCAATTAAGCAGCTGTTAAGGCAACAAGAAAGAAAGTAAGCAAGCTATTTTCGATTAGCTCATTCCTCTCATCTCTACTTTGCATTCGTCTTCCTTATGAACTGTATCTTGCCTCCCTTACTCCTTCCTATCTATTAGTCTTCACTGCTCGTCTTAACTTTGGTCCTGCTGCCTTGTGTAGTAATTATTCCATGTTTGACACCTTCCCACCTGCCTCATGATGTGACAGAACAGGTATCTTATGCGCCCCCGATCAAATCGTCGGGTGTTATGTTGCACTACCTCCTGTCTGAAGGCGCCCTTCAACCCTGTCTTGCTAATACAAACTTCACCACGGTGCAGTCTTTTTGTCTTTCACTTCCCAGGAAGGCTCTGCTCCTACTGAAAAAGAAGAAATACCAGGAGAAACTTCTGGTGAGGGCAGATGAACACCTCACCACAGTGGAGGGACTCATCCAGGACGTCGAATTTGCGCAGGTGCAGGTCAAGGTCTTGGATAGTCTAAAGCAGGGCAATGAGGCCTTGAAACAGCTAAATGAGCTCATGAAACTGGAGGACGTGGAAAAGATTATGAGTGACGCCCAGGAGGCACAGGCCTACCAGGAGGCAAGTTTTCACCTTCGGGTGCTTCACTTAATCACTTCGTCTGTTAAGTTTGTCTAACTCATCATGATCAAAAGCCAGACTTAGCACGGACACAGTAATCAGCAGTGCGACTTGTCTGCGTTTTCTCTGCTTGCCTTCTCCAAGCGGTTCAAC